TGCTTCACGATTTGCTTTTGGTTGTGGCGAGTTCGATTTGTTAAACATTGGTAGCGGAGCCCGAGGGGTTAAATCCGCGGTGGTTTGAACATTGGTTGAGGTTTTCCTTTTCGATTTTTGGGGTGACTGCTTTAGGCTGCTGCTGTAGGTAGCATGGCTGACGCCCCCGCCGATCGGAGTGACCCTGCTCGGGCTAGTCAAGAGGAAACCGTCGATCCTCTGACTCAGCAAGATCCATGGGCAACGCATGCACAAGGCTCGCCTACCACCTATGGTCCTCCTCTCGGACCTCCAGTTGCACCGGGAGGGTATGGGCCACAGAGACACCATTCGAGACCTTCGGAACCGGGAGCGAGTGTGCCGCATTCTGGTTGGAGTTGGGAAGGTCAGATTCCGCCGGTGATGAATTTGTCGATGACTGCACCGGCCACAGCATCACACATGTCAGTTCCCCCGACAGACACCTCTTGGCAGTGATATCGTCCGAGACGTTGCTTCAGCCGGGAACGAACTCGTCGGGGCAGATGAGCGGTTCAATGATGGCTGCATCGCACTTGGGAAGTCCAGAGCGCTTCACACCACCAGGGTTGTCACTTCCACCAGAGATGAATACTATGGGTCAGGGAGTTCATCACGGGCATGTTCCAGTACACCCAGGGGTACCAGGTTTTCCACCGTCCTACATGGCACCACATCCTCCCGTTCATGCATGTGGTTGTGGTCCATGCGGTTTTCCTCATTCAGGTCCACAGGTACCAGAGTTTTGGCATTATGGATGGCCCCCATTTCCTGGTTATGGTTATCATGGCCCTTTTCCATGTCCACCGTCGATGATGGGACCATCAATGGGTGTGCCACTTCAAACGCCGTCAGGACCTGAAGGAAAGCCTGAAGACCAAAGCCGAAAGACGAAGCCTGAAGACCAAAGCCGAAAGACGAAGCCTGAAGATCGAAGCCAGAAGCCAAAGCCGGAAGAAAAGACTTTGGAGGAGGCCGGAGATCGTCGACCGCGCGTTCCTTCTGGTGGGGGTGGGGGTGGCTCAACTCCTCCTATCTCCTCGTCAGAGGGAGATGGGGAGGATTCCTCGGTGGACACATCCGCCATCAGAAGCATGTTGAAACGTCGAGTGCACCAACAAATGGAGAGGCCGAAGAGTAGTCTAGGCTCGGTCAAGGTGGAGGAATTTGCTGGAGAGAGGTTCAAGTACACGAAGTGGAAGAAAGCAGTAGAAGCCCAGCAGGAATTGTACCGTCTAGAAGAACAAGAGCTGGCAATGCTTGTGTACCTCAGTACCAAGCGAGATGCAAGGGATTGTTTGGATCAGGCCCCAATTTCCGAGTTCACACGTCCTGGAGGTCTTCGCCTTGTCTGGCGCTTGCTGGACGAGGCATTTGGAGAGACGGAGGAGGAATTGCTTGAACGAGCGGAAAAGGAGCTTGGTCAGTATCGTCGATTGCCCGGTCAACCCGTGAGTGCCTACATTGGCCAGATGAAACGACTTCGAGCACAATACCAAAGGGTTGACCCAGACACTCAGCTGTCAGACAGGGCATGGGCACAGCGACTACTCAATCGGTGTTCCCTTTCACGCCGAGAGAGATTGGACGTGTTTTTCTCAGCTGGAGGCCAATATGAACCACAAGCCATTGAGCGAGCGTTGAGACACAGGTGTGCCAACACTCATGAAGATGAGCGTCGAGTACCAACCCCGTTGAAGCCCACCAGAACCTTCAAGCCCAGGGCCTATGACGACAAGAAGAAGACCGGTTACAAGAAGGTGTACAAGAGGGTCTATGCCGCCGGAAGAGAAGATGAGGAAGAGGGTGAGGCAGAAGAAGAAGACCTAGAAGAAGAAGGACAAAATGAGGTGTTCCTCGAGGAAGGTGATGCCCAGGAGGCCGAAGATATGGGCACCATCGAGGAGGAAGGTGAATGGGATCCAGCTGAAGAAGATGATGAAAATGAAGAAGAAATGATGATGGAGGCATATGCAGCCGGCTGGAAAGCGAAGGCACGAATGGGGGACAAAAAGAAGGCCCGTGGTTGGTCACAGCCATCCAACGGAAATCTACCTCCCTCCATTTCTCAGAAGAAGGCGGCCTCGCATTGTGCCTCTTGTGGTCAGCGAGGGCACTGGAAGGGAGACCCCCAGTGTCCAAATGTCAAATCTGGCAAGGACAAGCCTCATGGTCAAGTCAACAAGAAGCCGACAACCAGTTCCGGCAATGCAGGAGGTGGCAATCCAGTCCATTTCACCTATGTGGTGAGCACCACTCAGAAGAGGACGAAGACCAAAGAAGAGAAGACTGTTCATGTGCCACCAACCACATCCTGCCCAAAGTGTCGATGGCCCAGTGTTGCCTCAGCCAGATTTTGTGCCAATTGTGGGCATGCCATGAATCCTGATGAGCGGATGCCGGAAGGAAAGCGAGGTTGGACAGTGGTTCGAGACGATGAGGATGAAGATCAAGTTCCAAGTTCGGAAAGCAGCCGTCCAGAAGATCGACCAAGGATGTACTATGTCAGCAAGGATCGACTACGTGAGGCAGCTGGCATGGACAGCCTGCACCAAAGGACCAGAGTCAAGGCATCACCAGAGGAAGTCCTGGCAGCATTGCCAACGATGTCAAGGAAGGAGAAGAAAGAAATCCAGAAGGCGCTGGTGAAGGAAGAGAGTCAACACGCCTTCGAGCGATTAGAAAGAAGCCGTCTGTTGGCCCACTATGACAGTTCGTCCAGCGAAGATGAAAGAGATCCTGGCGCTGCTGGTTCACAGATGCCAGTACGACCGAAAGCAGCAGCATCACCTATCAAAGGTGGCTACATGGAGGAGTCAAGGAAGAAAGACTTGCCAAAGCCTGTCAAGGATCGGATGCTCGCACAGTTTCGTAAGGATCTATGTGACAACCAGACCTTCAAAGGAAAGATCCGTCCTTCAGCTTGTGCACCTACACCAACAGTTGAGCAAGCTCGCTGTCCACATCCTCAGGATCGCTTGAGATGGAGCGCCAATGGAGATGGTCACTATGCTTCTTGCCGAGACTGTGGTTTGAAACATGTCATCTACTTCTCAGAGAGACATGGAGCATGGGTGGTCAATAGCAATGAAAGCCACGAAGTTTTTCTTTCTACCGCCCCAGGGATGGCCATCATGGACAGTGGATGCCGATCAGCCGTTGCCGGAGAAGTCTGGCACCAAGAATTCCAAGCTCAGCTGAAGCGTATGGGTTTGAGTTGGCATGAGGAGCCCGAAGAAGAGTCCTTTCAGTTCGGCTCAGGAGAGCCAGAGACAAGCCACCGTGGCTACATCTACCCTGTGGGTATCCACGGGAGTGGAGAACTGATTCGCATGTCCTGTGTCGGAGGAGGAGCAAGAAATTGTCCAGGATTGGTGGGGCCGTCGGAAATGGCACGCTGGAATGTCATCATGAGCTTTGCAGACAAGAAGATCCAGATCAAGGGTACTTGGAAGCCGATGTCATTGACTGCAACTCGGCATCCAGCTGTGTGCCTACTAGACTTTGGAGAAGATGTGGCCCAGTTTTGGAGCCGGCCAGAGATCCAAGACGCATTGAAGATGTTGGTACGATCCCCGCAGAGCTGGGCATTCAAGGCAGACAAGCTTCCACCTGATGAAGGTTCTAGCGAAGAAGAAGATGAAGAATCAGAAGGCAGCGATGGTCCAAGCGACAAAGACTACGAGTCCTTTGATGAAGAGGCCATTGACCGACACAGATTGGAAACTGCCCTTGAGCGATTGGAGAAGGATCTGACCTTCATTCCGGTCCAGGAAGCCCAGAAGCAAAGTGATGATGAAGAGTGGGAGATCGTGCAAGGCTCCGATGATGAGGAAGCATCTGTCACATCCCACGAATTTGGAGTTCAGCACCAAGAAGAAGAAAGCACAGATGAAGAGTCGGAGACAGAAGCCCAGGATGAGAAGGAAGTGCACGGCCCAGTCAAGCATATGAGCAAGGCACAAAGAAGTGAGTGGCGCCACAATACCAGAGGGATACAAGACACCTATGTCCAGAGGAAAAACGAAGCCAAGGAGAAGATCACCAGGCAGATGCCTAGAGTCCGACGTTCAAAGAGTGGTCCTTGGAAAGTTCTCGAGGTGTTCACCTGGACATGTATGAT